ATTTTCGTCTCATGTATGTGAATTACAAACGAATTACAAGTGAATTCGTGTGATATTTTTGCAATATTCGTGCGACATACGCAAATTTGTCGGAGGTACCAATTCAGTGTAATTCCAAGTAAAAACTGTCGCTAATTCACGTATTGACTAGCTTGGTGAATAATGTTATTCGGGAATGAAATGAGGTCTAACTACCCACTAAACCAATCCATGGAAATAAACCGCATATGGAAAGATTAGAAAATCATATTCTAATACACGGGAGCACGTTTCATCTGCACCTAGATCCTGTCTATGATATCAACCCAGGCCCGTAACTAAGGGGTGGGGGGCGCCCCCCCCCCCCTGCAAAAAGTTTCGCCCCACAACCCACCCCTGTGAAAAAAAAATAGATATACATTGTCCGTCAATATTACAGCACCCCTGAGAACACTTCCCGGCCCCCCTTGTTGCTCTGAGCTAGTTACGGCCCTGTATCAACCTACTGTGGAAGCGGACAGAACAGTTCAACGTCCTACATTCCTACACTCGTCTTAGAGCAGGTTGATCTTAACATCATCATAAATACAGTTCGCATGCGCTGAAAATAGAAATTTCACGCATGTCTATATTATTAATTGTAGGAGATTCGGAGTGTTTATGGGTTTTTAACACAATTTCCGGTGATGCTAAATCTCTAACCGGGTGATAAATATACCATCTATTGAGTGGGTTGATTTGATAGATTCTGATTCACGACATGTTGTTTTAATGTTCAACGCTCTGACTTTTATCATTCACTGGCGAATTACATAATCATTTTGTCATGGAACTTCCCAATATGGAAGCACACAAAGTCAAAGCCTCCAGCATTTAAATGGGTGGATTCTTTTTAGAAATGTTAAGACAAATTAATATATCACATGAGTAGGTAATCTCTCTGAAGACGACATGATTGAATCATTGACAGGGAAGTAGTTGGATGCTACTTAACAATAGACTAAATGTTGATCTCACAGTGTGGCGAAGAATATGTTGGCGAATGGGCTTACGAATACTGGTGTTCGTGAGTATTCGTTGTGGTTTATGGGGTGTTGCGAATTAAAAGAACATGCCAGGAAAGCATATTCGCATTGCTTTCTCAATTAATTAATATTTTCGTAAACAATTGCAAACCTTTCTTTTTTATGGCAAGGCATTTGTGTTGATCGTAAGTAGCGGTTTGCTTTTGACTTCGTCTTGACTTTTCCTAAAGCAAGCGTCACACTGTCCCGAAATTGACACTAGATGGATATACTATAGAGTAAATGTTCAAATTTGGCTCTGATCGTAAAAACATTGGGCCATTCGTGGGGCATTTTAAACCATCGTATGACTTCCTGTGGAGTTTCTCAGGTTCCGGCAGCAAATTAATGAGCGCTGCAAAAACCTGCAAAGGTTCATTTTCAGTTTGAATTCGTGTGTCCATTGTGTTCTTCATATAAGGATAAGGCCATCGTGAGTGCATCTTGACAAATCGTGTCATCTTCGTCATTACATCGTCTGATCATCGGTGCCATTTAGACATTCTTATACGCCCACAATCTGTTTGTGGACACTCTACCGGTGACACTTTTTAAATGTGGGGTTATCACTCAAAGAACCCTTGTTCCTTTCGATATTGGCATGTATTGTAAGAAAATCTTGTTTTTAGCGTGTGGTCCCTCTAGAGGTCTCAATTTTAATCCGATTAAAAAAAACTTTAAATGTATCACTGTTACACCACAATGACGGTTGAGTTCGAATGGCCACCCCTCGTACGCAACTAGTGTCACAATCTTTATCCGATTTTGATTATGGTTATATTCGCGCATCTCGGACCGTAACTTCCTGGATTATGTCCCCTGGATGTTCGTAAAGTCGCTTTTTAGCTTGTCCTCTGTCCATCTCTTGCAGGCGCTTGTTCTCCATACGAACACAATACAAAGTAAACAAGAATCTGCGCGATTGACCTAGGAAGGCAACACCCGCAATGCCCTCGCGATGACCTTATGGACACACAAATTCAACACGAAAATAAACTTTTGCATGATCTTTCGGCAATTTTATGGTATGCCAAAGATTTGCCAGCTCTCACGAAATTGCCGCCCAAACCTGCGAACCTGAAAAACTTCACAGGCACGATGGCTTAAGATACCCTCACGAATGGCCCGATGTTTTTACGACCAGGGCCGAATTTCCTCATCGTGTGACTATCTGCTGTTAATTTCAAGAGATTGTGACGTATCTTCCTCAGCAACCCTACAGCTACCGAGCCATCGCGTGGCCTTTGTGTGTTCTGTGGTTATAAACAACTATACAAAATTCACATCTTCATATTACCTTCGTGTGTGGTTCGGGTACCATCGTGTGACGTTCTGTAGGCATCGCATTTGTTGATTGATTTTTGACTAAGTTCGGGGACATCTTCGCGCGAAATTCAAAATTCATATTCCTATGGTCATCAGGTGTTAATTTAGCGACAGTGTGGCAGCAAGCATTAAGAATACCATCGATAAACAATTGTAAGTCTGCCCTCACTTTTTTCGGTATTTCACCTGGCCAATCTGATCATTTTCGGCGAATAGTAAGAGTAACATAACAAGTTGTCAAAAGGTTGGTTTTGGTGAAAAATTGTGTGGATTATTAAAACTTAACACGTTGAATTTTAACTTGGCGGCAAAACGACGTTGGTGGTTGTTTTGTGGAGTTTATTAAAAATAAATAAGGGTCGCCTGCCGAACCTCGTATGATTTGACCGGGTCCTTCTGTAGCATATGTTAGTCCCTTAATGATCTACATGTAATTGAGTCGAGGTAAAATCCCATTTCTTATTCTTATAATCAACATGAAAGCTACGCCGAATCGTTCCGGGGCCGCAAAGTGTCCTTGATGTAAGATTATATGAACCCAACCAAGGACCATGCGCTATGTATACACGATTCTATGGTACGAGACCATGTCCTGTGTATAAACAATTCTATGGTACAGGGTCATGTCCTGTGCATACAGGATTCTATGGTACAGAACCATGTCCTGTGTACAAGATTCTTTACTCTCTACGACTGGTGTCTGCCAGTTCTGAAAGGAGCGAACTAGTTTATGCCCCACCGGTGTCCCTACCTTTTGCCCATGACAAACATAATGCAATACAATCCTTACTTCCCAGCAGTAAGCCGTTTTTCCGTGCCATTAGTAGTCATTGAAAGAATTGTTTTGAAACCATTGCAATTTACAGTTTGTAAGAGTTGTATCTGTAAAAATAGTTAAATTCCGTTTGTGTACTTATAAATACATGGCGCTCAATGAAAAATTACACATCATTAGACATCTTCTGCAGTGTCACCTATACGATCTGGGTAAAAACTCTTTTAATCCTGTTGAATCTGAACAGAGATATTTCTGCCGTTGATACTTCGGTTTTGTTTTCTTAAATAAATGTTAACAACCAATCAATTTATCGTGCATTTATTTGGAACAATATTTGGTCAGAAATTCAACTTTTACAATATTGTAGTGTGCAAGGGATTTCCATATCGCCCAAAATCAAACTCAGGAACTTTAAATGTTAAATAATCAATCTGAGTACATTTTAACGTGGATCAAGTCATAAAAAATCAGATATTGTTCGAAAAATGTCAATGGCCATCGGTAGCTTTAACACAGAGGGTCGACATTTAATTAACCTTATTTTGTCAATAGCTGACCGAAATGTTCTGCAAATCACTGAAAACACGGTGTTATAACTAACGAGATGTCTTGTCTCATGTTCTTTAAGCAGTTGATAGATTACCCGTTACCGTGTGACTGTGTAATGAATATCGTCCTAAAATCATTGTTTACGATCACTCTAAAATCTTTAAGCTTAATCACCGTAAGTTTTATCTAGTAGTAGGTAAATATCACTAAATACAGTTCAATTAATTTGTGGCTGTCGCTTTTAGAATTAACTACATATTCACGCGTTGGCATCTTCAATAGCTACTTGAATTTATATTTTATGACATACTACTGCTGGCACGATATACATTCTCCAGGGACAGTTTACCGTGGTGTAGTAATAACTACCGGAAAATAGTGATATAACGTGCTGACGTCCACGTCTTATCTTCATAATATCGGGTTAAAAATATCTCACAATGGTCACAAGTATCGAGAGAATACTATATTGTTATCCCATTTCTTGAATAGCACAGACTGGCAGCAGAGAACAAATTTTCTACTTCTAAATACCAAGCCATTTAAGTTTGTTGTGTAAAGATCGGTGTCGTGATGTTTGATAAAGTAAATGATATGAATCGGGGGTCTATGACAAATCAATGTGATAGCTGGGTCTTAGTTTCCAAGAGAATCAGGCCCAAAACATTCCGGGATTTTGGTGGCCGAATGGTTAACGAGTGCGCGTTGCATCATAAGGTCTGTCAATGAGTCATGTGGCGTGGTTTCGATTCCCTACTTGTAAGTGGGGGTCGCCTGTCCAACCTCGTGGGATTTCTCCCGGTGCTCCGGTTTTCCCCCACTGCTACAGACCCCTACGCGTAGTGAATTAATGAAATACAAACTTGACCTAGTTTGTGTCGAGTGGACGTTAAACGCCTTTTCTCTCTCTCTCTCCCTATAACATTTCTTCAGTGGGCAATATGGCGAGTGACAATAGCTCTAAAGCTGTTTCCCATAGACGAACGACCAAAAGATTCTGACAGAGTCGAGGTAATTAAGCCGGTGAACTACTTTTACGTAAGAAGAAGTCGCCCATTTCATCATTGTTTATTAAAATTATGTCAAGATCTACAACATTTATGAAACTATTAAGGCACGATTGTCGTTACAATTGTTCTTAAGGTTGACGTTACGGCTGTCGTCGCGTGTACGCCAACATTCTTTAAGTATCGGAAGAGAAGCTATCGATTTATCATCGTAGTGGAATTGAAACGAAATGAAACTTTCGTCGCTAGTTATATGCTTGTGTACGCACGGTATTAGCCAGGCTGTTGTGTGTGCTATCTAATTTACTGTCGACATGGTTTTGTCAGCTCCATGGCTAGAATAGTTAAATTAACTAGTGGACAGAATATTCCACATTTTCCTGTAGTGTATGTATCGGAATTTCAGCTTAAATGAAAGATGACCATGTTGTTTAATCTTTGTTTTAAAATTATTTAATCTACGCCATTGACAGACAACCGTGACTGACAGAAGATTTGTTCGTGTTAAACAGCGTTTTTTCCAACTCTGTTACTATCATAATAAAATTACATAATAATATGGTGAAAAGAATTAATTAAAGGTAAGTTGTTAAATTTTTCATCTAAAGAGAAATCCACGAATTGTTTTGTATTATGCTATAGGATAAAGTACGGTCCCAAGGTTGCTTCAAACCATCTGTCACAGCACCTCGAGCATTTTATTAAAGATATATTCTATTTACTATACTTTAAATGAATGGGAGATCGGGAATAGGCAAAGTGTTTATGTCAGGTCCCAAGGTTGTATCCAACCATCTGTCACTGTGTCTCGCACATTTTATTTAAGATGTTTTTTATTTACTATACTTTAAATGAATGGGACATCAGGAATGTGCAAAGTGTTTATGTCAGATCCTTATCCCTATTTAAAATACACAGGGGCGTAAATGTGGGGGGGGGGGGGTTGTACACCCCCCAGGAAGAAAAATAGTCGGTCGCAAAATCAGTGCAGTCGGTCGCAAAATAAGAGCAATCGGTATCAAAATAAGTGCGCACTGCATACGTCACGCTACTCACGCCAAACTTTAGTATAAAATAACCTTGTCAACTTATCATGTTTGAAAAAATGTTGTGTTTCACTCTTATTCTGTTGTGAGTATGTTTGTCTATGAACAAAATTTCCCCCAGGGAGAAAAATAGTCGGTCTCAAAATAAGTGCAGTCACTGCAGTCGGTAATGAGGTAAACAAACAATGCCAGAATAGATCCCAAATACTATGTATTTGCGTGAATCCGTGAGCCTAAATTGCATACGCCACACAAACTATAGTATAAAATAACCATGTCTGCTTGTCATGTTTGAAAAAATGTTTGTCACTCTTATTCTGTTGTGAGTATGTTGTTCTATGAAATGTTTTTCCCTCATAGCAAAAAAATAGTCGTCTCAAAAAAAGTACTCACCGCAGTCGGTCTCAGACTAAATGAATTAATGAGACAAACAAACAATTACAAAACAGGCGAAATTGACAGATAGGCCACAAGATTCTGTCTCATTTTTTATCCTCTTGTTAGCGAGAATTTGGTTCCATTTGCCATGTCAATGACTAAAATTTTCATATCTGAATTTTTTTCGCGACTGCGGCGCTCGATTCCGTTATAACATTATTCTTCTATTACTCTGTTTCTTATACTGTCTCAGCACTATCATATTCACGATTATAGTGACCTCCCCATTATACTGGTGTGTGGGTCGTGGGGCGTCAGACTATACAAATGTTATGTCAACTCTTGCGAAACAGGGCAGATCTCGAGATTCTGTCCCATTGGCTCACATTTTTGGTCCTCTCGTCCTCAAGACTTTCTCCCAGCAATGACCTCAAATGCTAGGATATTGACTCAATTTTTCAAAATTTTCTCAGGTTGCTCAGTGTTATAGGCACAATTATCATATATGACATAAACTTTATGTCAACTTAAATAAAACTGCTTTCCGGCGAGACAACGATCGGCGAACAACTATACAATACTGTCTATGTTCTAATGGGACGCTTAATGTTATAGCCAGTATTTTGTTGACATTCATTGTGGGGTGGGATTTTGGATGGCGCCCTAGATTTGGAACCACCCCCACCCCTATTCCCAGCTTTTAGATCCGCTCTGCACATGGCCCCTAGAAAACTCGCACCTGTGGTGCGCGGTTCCTGACTGCGTCACTCGTACTGGGGGTATGTGCATCAGTCGGTTGCATTTTGGCTAAACACCCCACCCCCTCCCAAACAAAATCGTTATGTACGCCCCTGAATACATGCAATGTGTGATAATAATGAAAATGGTATTTAACAATTAAAGAAACTTCCACGTGTAGTTAATATGATTGATGTCAATCCGCTGTCGTTGGTTTTCGCAAATGACTTCTAGCGGTTCTTCTTATTGTGTACGTTTTTTTATGACAATAATAGCAGTTTGGGTAGTCCACTCTCGTGTAGTTTCTCTCGTGACTTCTGAGGGTTATTCTATAGTTATTTCGTAATCGTTGTTTATGACAATAAATGCGATTTGGGCAGTCCAGGTAGTCCGCTGTCATGGGGTTTTGCAAATGACTTCTGGTGGTTCTATTTATTTTGTTGATGACAATAATTGCGGCATGTGTAGTCCGGTTAGTCCGCTGTCATGGGTTTCTTCGTGACCTCTCGGAGTTATTCTAATATTATTGTAATCTTTGTTGATGACAATAATTTTGGTTTGTGTAGGCGGGTTAGTCCGCTGTCATGAAGTTTCGCTGATGACTTCTGGGGGTTCTTAAAATATTGTAATCTGTTTGGGTAGTCCAGAATAGACTCTTCTGGACCTTGTACTTATATCTTATTTGAAGTTACATTGTATGCAAAAGCCTGCCCGATTCCGATGCCTGAAAATCGAAATGTACTATTAATTTCCTAAAATAATTATAATAATACATTTACTTAAATAAGTTGAACCTATACGCTAAGCCTCTTCCTCAGTCCCGTTCAGATATCCTGGGAGCTTAATAAACTACTTCTACCATAAAAATATTATTTACCTCAAATAACTTGCCTTTTATTTGAATGGAGATTTCGAAGTTGAATGGGTGAAATAGGGGATTGCAAATCAACACACTATTAACGCTTTTGATGGAAAGGTCCCTGTTTGAATTACAGCCAGTGCTGGGGCTGTAATCAGGCACAATGATAATTGCTTCCCATAAAAATTATGTTCTATATATTGACAGATTTTCTTGTGTGACCAGAACGTTTAAAATACATTTGTTTTCTGGGAACAGTGTCTAGTTGTTCGGATGGAATGAGAAATCTAGGTATAGTAACTTGAATTGTATGATGATAGTTCTTGCTATAATAGTTAGTATATGTTCGAAAAGTTTTTCTTATATCCAGTTAGTGCAGAAAAGTAGAACGTTATATAAACCCCATTTCATTTGTTCCAGATTTAAAGCAGTAAAAGGCCAACATCAAGTTTCTCATGGAATAACCAAATCAATGAATTCGTTTCAATGAAGGACAATGTTGGTGTCAGCCATTTTCACATATATGAAAGAACTGGCTAAACACATTCCAAATATAATTTTAACACAAAGACCATTGCTACGGTAGATGCGCAACGAAGATTATAACTGACTGAAGAAACGAGCGATAACAGATACACGGTCGAATTATAGCTCTCTAATAATTCCGTTGAAGACGAAAAGTTGTTATATGAGACTGTGGAAGGATATCTGACAATTCAAAAAAAGAATTAAAAGAATTGATTGTCACTAGATATGAGAAAACGAGAAAAATAGAAAAGGCCCGTGGATTCCCTTGTTTTTATTATTCATTCTATACTTATGCCTAGGTCCCACTGGGGAAAAATCATTGGCGATGTGGAAATAAATAAATTTTCTACCGATGTCCGACGAGGCTCCCGATGTTTTTGCCCACAAAAACGGAGTATTCACGTGAGAAATGGCACTTACTACGCATTATGGATAGTCAGGTGAAAGTTCATTGGTGTTTCGGCAATGGTCACAAAGCTTCCAGATATGCGCCCCCCCCCCCCGAGCAATTGCCGTGATTCATCGGGGATGGTTCCCAATAATCGGGAAATCTCCGAGGGAGGTACCTTTTCCGCGTATCGGTGACACTTATGCCTCGGTCCCACTAGACATTTTTTGCCTCGGCGGTGTACTACCGATGGAAATTGATGAGCCTCGGAAGGCGACGGGAATAGGTTCTCTGGTATCCCGGGGAAGCTTAGGGGGCATCGCGAGCCATGTAAAACCATCGGAAAGACTCGAGAGGTTTCCAGATCCTTGGAGCTTCCTCGAGACATTGTTCGGTGATGTCTCGCCGAAGTATCAGGAGACCTCCGAGGATATTTGAATCGGGGATGCCTCGGGGAAAACAGTGTTTCAAGGAAGCTCCCGGAAAGCATTCCCGGAGTTTCCCGTGGATCTGTAAAGCTCCGGAGATGCCTCCCCGGCCTTTTTTCCCGACAAAACTTAGAGAACACATGGGCAAAATTTCAGCGCTTGTTTCCCAATTCACCCGAGGCCTCGCGATGGTTCCACGCGACCCTCCCGAAGCTTCCTTGAAAGGCCGGGGAACCTGTTCCCGACGTCCCCAAAGGTTCATCAATTTCCATTGGTAGTACATCCCCGAGGCAAAACAAACAACAAAAAACAAAATGTCCAGCGGGACCTAGGCAATAATAAAAACATGGTAATGTACAGACATTTTCCATTTTCTAGTGACAGTCAATTCTTTTTATGAATTATAGGATATCCCCTCACAGTCTCATATATCAACTTTTCTTCTTCGCTGGAATTATCAGTGAACAGAAATCGATCATGTATCTGCCATCGCTCGTTACTGAGAATAACTCGTCTTTTCCATTTTTTGCGTCACTGCCCGTTTCTCCAAATCTTCGTTACGCATCTATGGTAGCATTGATCTCTGTGTTAAAATTATATTTGAAATGTACATTATGTGATAATGGCTGACACCAACAATGTCCTTTAAAATACAAATACAAGTACCAAAGATCTAATCTACCAGAAACGAACACCAACGATGATGGTATACAATTTAAATTCAATTAGACAAATAGTTCAATACAGTTTTAATAACCCCAAAAGCCATACCCTTAAATATACGTATAAATAACAATGAATTTTACATAACTGCACTAAATCCCACAGAGAAAACGGGGTTAGGTACCCTTTAAGTTTAATTATTACATTTAATATAGGGCTCATTACTGCAACATAGTATATTAATCGTACAGTGTCATTGAATGCATATACAATTAATATATTATGTACATACATATAAATATAGTATACTAATGAATAATTAATTAATTCATAAAGGTCCTTTGAAAGAGATATGTTTGTAGTGATTTTTTAAAGAGTATCTTGAGATTTAGAGCTTTTTATACTGTCGGGTAGATCATTCCATAGGCATGGACCGCCAACACTGAAGATGATAAGGTTTGTCATTGAGTCAAGTGGCGTGGATTCGATTCTAAGTTTGCACGTGACAAGGAGTAGGGTCGCCTGTCCAACTTCTTGCGTTGCTAAAGACCCC